TAGAGGAATGATAGAAGCATTTCTATTAAAGACAAGATGATAATTTGTCTCTTATTACCAGTGCTGTTTAATTTCATAATAGAAGTGTCAGCAAATGCAGTTACAGAAGCTTTATTATAAAGGTTGGAAAGGAGGAGGTAAAATTAACACTGTTGGCAGATGATTGGATTGTGCATTAACTAAGAACCTAACACAATAAATTCAATAAAGTAGTGGGGAGTGAAAAATATATAGAAATAAATAAAGTGGGGCACCTGGGTGGCTCAGATGTTAAGCATCTGCCTTCAACTCAGGTCATGATCTACAGGTCCTAGGATCAAGCCCCATGTCGGGCTCCCAGCTCAGTGGGGAGCCTGCTTCTCCCTCTCCCTCTGCCTCTCCCCCTGCTTGTGTGCTCTGTTTCTCTAATGAATAAATAAAATCTTTATTAAAAAAAAATAAATTGTGTGTTAAACATATGTGCATATTGTAACACACACGGGCACACATATATTTGTTGAATAAGGAGGAGCTGTAAAAAGTGTATTTCCAAAATAGATTACATGCTCTATCTCTGGAGAGTGAATATAAAACCTGCCTCACCTACATTTCCATTATGAATTTGACTTTTAAGAATTTTAAGAGGGCATACTAATAATACAGAGAAAGGCACAGTGGGAAATATATTTTAATGGCTTATCTAACTCTTCATTTGAAATGTCTTATAACACAGACTGTTAATACCAAGAAAGTAATCACCCAGGAAGAATTTATAATGAATTTAGACTAACTTGAAATGTTTCAGTTAGATTACAACAATGCACTATATTGGTTCTCCATTTTTATAGCATAGATTTTTTAACATTTTGTTAATTGTTTAAAATTTTGAAATGATCTTTTAATTCAGAGCATAAACCTCTACTCTTCAAAGGAGAAATATTTTTTGCAGATGCAATTGTTTTGAAAGGCGGTTACCATTTCTCTGTTTAAACTCTGCTCTTTGAGCAAAAGTAGTGGGGTATTTCTTTAGTAGAGCTGTCTAGGTGGTTAGAAGTCAGGAATCATTTATTTGAAGAGCTGTTTACAGACTGTTTGGCTTAGGGACTGGGATGAGGGTGTGTGTGCATGTTAGTGTTTTGGAAGCTCCCTAGGTGATTCTTTGATTTAGTTATGTCTGTTGTGATTGTGATTACATACTATTTATAATTTAAGACACACACAGGTAATAATTGTTCTTTCATGCCAGCTCAATAGGATGGCTTCCCACATCCTTTGATGTCTAAGTTTATCAACCAAACTTTAAAATTAGGAAATTGGGGCGCCTGGGTGGCTCAGTTGTTAAGCATCTGCCTTCAGCTCAGGTCATGATCCCGGGGTCCTGGGATCGAGCCCCACATAAGGTTCCCTGCTCAGCGGGAATCCTGCTTCTCCCTCCCACTCCCCCCTACTTGTGTTCCCTCTCTCAGTTTCTCTCTCTGCCAAATGAATAAAATCTTTTAAAAAAACCCTTTTTAAGGTATGATGGGGAAAGAATTAGTATTAGTTTTACACTAAGCATGCAAGAATCTATATCTGCATGCTCTCACCTTTATCTTCTACTGTAATTTAAATTCAACTCCTAAAGACCCTTACTGAAGGAAAATCCTATCAGTGCCTGTCTCTGAGTTCTGAATTTTCCAGTCCCTGGGCTTGGAATGTGGAGGAGATGAAAGAAAACAGACTTGAGAATATGCAAACATGAACTCAGACCTTCCCCAGAACGTCACTCAGAACTCCCCAGCTCCTAAATTTCACTTTAAAATGTGCTTGATGCATTATCTGAGTTTGGGTCATCTTAAGGGAGTGCAGATATTAGAAGCTGTTATTATATGCAGGTAAAGAAGAGACTAAAATGCCTACTTGGAAGAAAACCCTGATTCCTGGGATGATTTTATGTTTAATGTGCTTCTTAGAGTAGTAGGGTACAAATTAAAGATTAAAGGTGTATTTTTGAGACTAGGTCTTAAATGTTCTTAAACAGGAAGAGATTTAAGTTGTAACTGTCTGAAAAGACTATAGATTGTTCTTGAAATAGCATGTGGTCTTACATTAATCTTTCCTTCTTTATATTCCTCAAAGCTTATTCTGTCAAAATTTATAGCCTGTTGATGTTCAGTCCATTGTTAATGTTCTCTAGGTTCTACCAACATATATACACAGTTTTTTTTCCTCCTTCCCTGTTTGAAGAAACTCTTGGAGGAGTCAGAAACCAGTAACATCTTGTTGGAGGGTGGATGTGGTGATAGAAATTGGGTATATGGAGGGGTGGCTTCTTGCAGGGAGTAGAGGTACTGCTGACCATATACCTTTTCATACTACCCCCAAATTAAACCACATAAATATTTATATAAAATATTAAAGTAAGGGGTCTGTATTTTAAATAATATGTGCTCATTGTAGAATAAGTTGAAAATAGAGGAAAGCACAAAGAAGAAAAATTATCACCAGCAGTATCCACCCCCTAGAGATAACATCTGTTACTGTTTTGTTATAGATTATCTCAGTCCAAAAGAAAAAAGCATGTTTTTATGTATAAAGTTGTACATTTTGACAAAACAATTATATTTTATAACCTGCCTTTTAAAATTTAACAACATATTGTAAATAGTTTTCCAGATCCTTAAATACTTGCTTTCCTTGTTTTTAATTGCTGCATGGTGTTTTGGCATACTGAAATACTTTATTTAACCAGTTCACTCTTGTTGAATATATATATAGTCTTAACTTTTTCTCACATAATTCCTTGTAAGTAAATCTGCACATATCCATAATTATTTCTAGATGTAGAATTGCTGAGTCAAAGACAGTTATTTTTAAGGCATCGTTAAATTGCGTCCTGATAGAGTTGTTCTCATTATGGTGTAGGGGTCTCCCTAACCATAGGCATGTAAGATTGCCCAGGCCACCAGCAGACACCTGTTAATTCATTGCAGTAGAGTAAATAAAACCTGAAGATAGAGCAACTTCTGGGATTCATGTTGTGGGTAGAAGACTATCCGGGGTATAAAAACTAATTCTATCTTTTATCCAATATGTGATTGACATCAGGCTATAGTAGGTATTAACATAATTAAGTTTGGGATTTTTGGATATTTAGTTGCTAGCATTGGCCATGATGGATGGACTTTTTGCTGTACTAGGTTGACGTCTTTTCTGCTAATAGATTGAATTGTGTTTCTGCCGGCTAGCCTAGGATTCTATTGGAGGGATGTGTAAAACTGAACAGTTTACTGAACAAGCTTAAAAGTGGATGTCCAACTGAATTTATTAAAAGATGAGAGATGGCTGGGGCTCCTTCCTGGCTCAGTTGGTAGAGCATGCAATTCTCTCTCTCTCTCTTTTTTTTTTTAAGATTTTATTTATTATTTGAGAGAGAGACAGAGCCTGAGCAGGGGGGAGGAGGCAGAGGGAGAGGGAGAAGCAGACTCCCTGTTGAGCAGGGAGCCCGACTTGGGGCTCAATCCTAGGACCTTGAGATCGTGACCTGAGCCGAAGGCAGACGCTTGTCTGACTGAACCACCCAGGCGCCCCAAGCATGCAGCTCTTGATCTCGGGGTTGTGAGTTTGAGCACAACATTGGATGTAGAGATTACTTAAAAATAAAATCTTAAAAAAAAAAAAAAAAAAAGATGAGAAATGGCTGACTAAGTACCCTACACACACTTAGGATCCAGAGAAAATATCGCATAGTATTTAATTGCCTTTTGAAATATTTACTGAGCATCTTATTTCAACATGAAGAGGTGCTTCGCTTGCACACTGGTAGTTCTGTGAATTTCACTTTTGGATCTTGGAGAATGGAGAGAAGAGGCTAGGCAAATAATTGGCAAGAAAAGCAAACGGTTACAAGGCTATTAACAATGCACCCTTGTTTACCCACTCTTTGCCTATCTGGATTTCTGAAACTGGATTCTTTAGCTCTGTGAACTAGTTAGCACAAGACCACTCCTTTCGTTTTTAGGGTGCTTGGAATTGTAAGCATGCTGGAGAGAACACAATCATGTATATCTTAGTTGGATGAGTGCATCCTGCCACTGTTAGGACTTGGTGTTGTAAAGGGATTAATAGTGAGAAGTGAGCTGAGAATGGTTTATCTGTGGAAACCTCTGGAATTGCCTCTTAAAGTCTGTTTGTGTTATGGACATTTCATAGTGGGGAGGTTACAGAAATCAAAAGGCTATTAGTTTTGAAACCAGAAGTCTGCTATAGTCACAGTGTTAACATTTTTTATTTGTAAAGCAAAGGAGCAGAGATTGCTTCATTTAATAGGTGGGGCCTTAGTTATGAGATCTAATTTTATAGTGTAGGCTCTTTCAAAGAGTACTACTGAGTAGTATCTGTTTTGTAAAATTTAAGTGACACTGTTACTTCCTTCATTTTTGGTTATGATCTCTTAGTAAATCTTACATTTTTATCACAAGAATGAATCAGGCAATGGAGTATGAGAGTTAATTTTTGGGGGAAATAGGAAAACTAAGGGCAGAATTTAAAATACCATCCTTGTTACTATGAGGCAGCAGAGGAACTGTTTTAAGAAATCCTTTATCTGAGGGGCAACCTGGGTGTCTCAGTTTGTTGAGTGGCCGACTCTTGATTTCAGCTCAGGTCATGATCTCAGTCAGGGTCCTGGGATTGAGCGCCACATAGAGCTCTGTGCTCAACGTGGAGTCTGCTTGTCCCTCTCCCTCTGCTCCTTCCCCCTGCCCCTCCACTTTTGCTTGCTCACTCTCTCTTAAATCTTAAAAAAAAAAAAAAAAAAAGTGCTGTATCTGGTTTTAGGTCTTTTTTTGCTTGTGTGTCATAAGTTTGCTGTAGATGTTGGGACAGATAATCCTCCTCCCATTTTCATTCTCACTTTTGTTTTTCTCTTGTGAGATACTTCCTTGTGGTTATCACTGAAGCATGATGAAAATTAACTTTTATTAATGAAAATGTTGAGTTCTGTCATCTGCTTCACATCTGATTTTTGCTTTTGTTTTCAGCACTGGCTAGATGGTACCAAGAGCATCAAAAAGCAAGTAAAAAGTAAGTGTTGAAAGAATTGTGAACAAAAAGTGAATTTAATTATATGTAATTATGTATTAGAAGCTCTGATTCCTAATAAAGAGATCATATTTCAGATGAATTTCTTAGCATCTCTACTTTCTAAAGATAATTTCAATTTGATACACTGACTCACCCCCTAAGTTAATATAGGGTTAATAGTAATCTAGAATCTCAAGTGCTTTACAGTTTATTTCCTGGAGAAAGACTTGCAGCTTGCAAAGGAGATTGAGTTCTCATGAGATGCTTAACTTTTAGTAATTTACTTATGTTGGAATTTTCCTGTTTGGCATCTGCCCTGCTCTGTAAAATATTTTGAGATTTTAAAGATGTAACTTTTAAAAAATTAAGAGTAATGAAATGAAACAATTCACATAAAATGCTATTATTCCTAGCAATAGTCAGGGGAAGATACCAATGTCCGGTTTGTAATCCAGTTTGTCCTTTGTTTCAGAGCGTCTCAACTTTTGTCTTTACAAAATAATGGGACCACTGAGAATTTAGACATTAGTGGAGAAGGTGAAATGAATTGGAGAGTGTGGGGGGGATTTGCCATGAGCAGTTAATAACCTAGGCTTTACTCAGTATTCACAAGAAATACAGCTTGCCAGGTTTTTTTTAGGGCTGTTAGATTGCATAGTCAGAACTTATATTTGATGCATTTGGCCCAGAACTGTTAGAATTAATTTAGAACTATCTATTCTTGGGAGGACAGCTGATTGTGATAGTACTATATGATGGTTGGTACATTTAAAAAATCTACTGATTGATTTTTTTGTGTTAGGTGTAGTGAAAGCCTAGCAGGCTTTAATTAAGCCATACAGTATTTTGGTGTGTGAAATATTGCCACAATAACCTGTTATCTTCTGTCTCCACTTCAGTAGACTTTTTAACAAATTTACTGACTGAAAATTCTTACTCTTAGAATAGTTATATAAAAAGTTAAAGTATTTTTTTTGTTTGTTTTTGTTTTTTAATGACAGTTGGCTCACCCTATTGTCTGCATCTTCGAGTTAAATTTTATTCCTCAGAACCAAATAATCTTCGTGAAGAGCTAACACGGTAAGACCACTCTAGAGTTGTACAGGGTGAAGTTTTGGTCAGCTAACTAAAGGTGTTGGAAGATTGCCTTTATAATTCTTTCCTGCTTGTAGACCACTAATGAAATGGATCTCTCTTGCCTTTGGTTAAGACCTCAGACAATAGAATTTCATTTTGGGACAGTGTTTTTAAGTGTAGGATTTTTTTTTTCCTTTATCAATTTTCCAAAAAAAGAGTTGGTTCCCTAGCATCCTCTAAAGGTAACTAGTTGAATTCTTTTTTTTTAAGTATCATTATCAACTCATGGATTTTAAACAGAACTGGTATGTTTGACTATATTGCCATATTATATTTATTGATGTTTATTGATGTTCAAATGATCTGTCTTTGGCCACTGGGAGTTTATTCAAGTTGGCTTCTGACTTTACCTATTGAAATGCCATTGACTGATGAAAAATATTAGATTCTGATTTGGTTTGAATAGTTTTAAACAAACTTTAAGTAGGTTATATACAATTATTTTTATAATATTTGAATCATGGATTTACCACATAGAGTCAGTGAAAAAACAGTTTTTTCTGTTTTTTCTGTTCTGTTCTGACTCTATGTGGTAAATCCATGATTCACTCACACATACTGTTTATTAAGTAAAAACTGAGTTGCTGAGTCCCTTTAGAAGGGTTTCCTCTTGAATATTCTGCCAGTGAGATTATAGCTAATCTCCATTGTAACATACATGCCTGTACCCTTTCACATATGAGGTGACTTGTGTTGTGAGAGTAATGTTAAATTAGATCACAGAGCTTATTCTCAATAATTTGCTTAAAACCTTTAATCTTAAGGTGGTTGTACTTGCTCTGTGGCCTTCTTTTCCTTGCTGTTGTGGACATGCTACCATCCTCCTGAGGCTTATTGCCCCCGTTTTTTTTTGTTTTTTGTTGGTTTTTTTTTTTTATATTTTTTTCCATTATAGATTCTGTTGCAGGTAAAATTCTGTAATTAAGAATGTTTCTTCTCAAATTAGAATGGTAGGATTATTTTCAAAGTAAATTGTTCGTTTAGTTAAATGTGTGCTTTTTATTTTTCTTAGGTATTTATTTGTTCTTCAGTTAAAACAAGATATTCTCAGTGGAAAGTGAGTATTAGTTATTTAAGGTAAACCACATTTTAAGTAATTGAGAATGATTTTGCAAAACATTCATAGTTAATTATGTTGACCATTTCTTTTTCATAAAGTATGTATTATTTCCACTTATCTTAAAATGAAGCTTGTGAAGTTGACTTGTCTAACAAATTTGTGTTTTGGTCTCAGATTAGAGTGTCCCTTTGATACAGCAGTTCAGTTGGCAGCTTATAATCTGCAAGGTAAGCAGTTCTTACGTTGACTGTTAAGAATAAAGCATAATTCTTTTTTTTTTTTTAAGATTTTATTTATTTATTTGACAGAGAGAGACACAGCAAGAGAGGGAACACAAGCAGGGGGAGTGGGGAGGGGAGAAGCAGGCTTCTGGCCGAGCAGGGAGCCCGATGCGGGGCTTGATCCCAGGATCCTGGGATCATTACCTGAGCAGAAGGCAGACACTTAACGACTGAGCCACCGAGGCACCCCTCTTTTTTGTATATTTTTAGTTAAGAATTTTGCAAGATTCAAAGTGATATGCCAAGAAAAATAACACCGCTTTTATTGTGTAAACTTGTATCAATATCCAACCCTAACTATTACTTTGACTTGTTTTAGAACATTGCCTTCTTTTTCTTCCCTTTCATTTCATTTGCTCCCTTTCCATCTGTATCTTGTTTTCAAACAAAAATCGCTGTTGACTTGATAATTCAATAAGTATAATGGGACCTTCCGCTACTTTTTTTCCTTGAAAAGAATGCAGGGATATAGGAGTAAATTTTTGCAATAGTCACATGTTTTGCTTTCTTTAGTTTTATTCTTAAAAGTGAATCCATGAAAAAAAGGCTTAGAGCATGTTTTAAAGTTCCTGATGGTTATTTTAACAATAAAAAAAGTATTTTCCAGTAAATGAGATTAATGAAAAACTCACTGTTTTGTACCTTGTTATACTGACCAAATACTGTTAAGCTAGGTAATTTTTTTCCTGAAAAATGAACATTTTAAGAAAACTATAATTTTGGTCCTCATTCACAAAACAGAAATAAATATTCTATTGGAGTATTTGTATATACTAGAATACAAATAAAATTAATGATTATGAAGGCATTTATACTTCTTTGGTGATTACATATTTATCCCTAATCTCTCTAGGATCAATAGTATTTATTTGAATATGTATGGATAATAAGACTAAATTTTTATGTTTTTATGGTAAACCTAATATTTTTGCTTATTTCCTGTTTTCACTGTTTTAAGAAAGCATATTTTCCTGTTGATAGAGGGATTAGTGACCAGAAGAAATTTCTGTACTTCAAAAATTTGTCAGTGGTGTAAATTATCATCCTGCCTCCATCGACTATCCTAGTCTGTCTACAAATTAAAATTTGTTTTTTCATCTGCAAAAAGTCAGATACTAGCTTGGAAATGCTATGCCTTTAGCATTGTAATAATCAGAAGTGTATAACTGCATGCATTTTTTTCTTGAAAGCACATTTTTTACGTTTTATTCTGATATGAGGTTGATAATTCTAAAACTTTCATCTACTGAAAAGCTGTCTTTGTCAATGTGTGTGTTCTGCCACTTACGGCCTCACATGTTCTTTCTGGGTCTTATTGTGTAAGTGTCATGATAGCCAAGGTATGTGCTTCTTGAAAATGTGATTTTCTACATTTTTGTGTATTTAACAAAACACTATTCAAAGTAGTGCTTACTACTTATTGATTCATGCATTGTGGCTCTATTTTGTTATCTCTTAACTCTACTTATCACATTTTTTTCCTAAGTAAAAGCTCTTTCCTACTTTCTCTTTCGTCCCCAGCACCACTATCTACATGATTCCTTCACACTTCGTCATATCTTGTGCATCTCTTTGTCTCGTGTCTAATAGTTTGCCAAATCCTGTCTTAAGATCCTTAAGAATTTGCTGAAGTACTACTCCCATCTTCATAAAATTAGTTCTTTGTTTTTCATTTATGATTTTATGTTTTATCAGAATAATTTTTATTACCTTTTTCTCATACTTTCACTTTTTCCTTGCCATTTTAGTATGTATCCTGAACATTAGGTAGCAGATTTGGTTTGGTGCTTCTTAAAAAACATTATGGTCCAGACAAAAGGGCAATTTCTTCAGGAATAAAGTGGGCATGATAATAAATATTTTGCAAGGTTGTTGAGAAAATAGATGACAACATATCTGTAATAGGCCTAATGTGTAGAGTCAGTGTTCAATAAATGAGTTACCATTTTTATTACTATCTCAAGATCTATTTATTTCTTTCTACACAGCCGGATTTTTTTTTATAAAAGTGGAAATATTTTAATTTTTAAATATGAGTAAAATAATTCTTTTAAAGGAAAAATGTCTAAAGTATAGAAAATTAGAATCACGTATCCTGCTTCCCCAAACCCACAGTTCAGAGATAACCATAGGTGGGTACATAAATGTTTGTGCATTGTCCACGTTTTTTCCTACTGCCTCCCTTCCCCAAATATTTTTTACTAATTTTTCTTGCAGTTTTTTTTTGTAATTTTTAATTTTTTAAAAAAGATTTTATTTGTGAGAGAGTGAGAGAGAGAGAGCATGAGCAGGGGGGAGGGGCAGACGGAGAGGGAGAAGCAGACTCCCTGCTGAGCAGGGAGCCTAATGCAGGACTAGATCCCAGGACCCTGGGGTCATGACCTGAACCGAAGGCAGACACTTAACCAACTGAGCCACCCAGATGCCCCTCTTTCAGTTATTTCTTTAGGACTAACAATTTACAATTCCAGGAGGACAGAGACTTATCTTTTTTTTTTTTTTTTTAAGATTTTATTTATTTATTTATTTGAGAGAGGGAAAAAGAGTGCAAATAGGGGGAAGAGCAGAGGAAGAGGAACAAGCAGACTCCGTGCTGAGCATGGAGCCCGGCCTAGGGCTGGATCCCATGACCCTGAGATCATGATCTGAGCTGAAATCAAGAGTTGGATGCTTAACCAATTGAGCCCCCCAGGCACTCTGAGACTGTATCTGTGAGTGGTGTATGATGTCATGGTCTCTGCACATTAGTTTTTTTTTTTTTTTAAGAGAAAGCATGTACACAAGCTGGGGGTGGGAAGGGGGAGAGAGAGAGAGAGAGAATCTTAAGCAGGCTTATACCCAGTGCGGAGCCTGACATGGGGCTCAGTCTCACGACACTGAGATCATGACCTGAGCTGAAATCAAGAGTCTGTTGCTTAACCAACTGAGCCACCCAGGTGCCCCTCTGCATATTAGATTCTTTTTTTTTTTTTTTAAAGATTTTATTTATTTATTTGAGAGAGAGAATGAGATAGAGAGCGTGAGAGGGGAGAGGGTCAGAGGGAGAAGCAGACTCCCCGCCGAGCAGGGAGCCTGATGCGGGACTCGATCCCGGGACTCCAGGATCATGACCTGAGCCGAAGGCAGTTGCTTAACCAACTGAGCCACCCAGGTGCCCTGCATATTAGATTCTTAATGGATGCCTGCTAATTGTTTTTTTAAAGGTTGCTAAATATTTTTGTCTATTTATTATAAGGTCAAAAGGTATTTCTGTAAGGAAGTCTAGAAAGTTTTCAAAAGCTAAGCATTATAAGGTATGAAATAAATGAACAGAAACACATTTATTTGAAAATATACCACCAACCACAAATATGTGATTGTGTGTATAGACGTTGACAGGTTGTTAGTCTGAGCTAGATTTATTTTTGGGAAAGATCTGGGTGTTATGACTTACTGGTAGTTTAAGAAAAGAATCTAATCTTAGCAATTTTTATTAATAAAATGAGTTTTGAAGAAAGATTCAGCAGGAAATAAACTTATTAACAAAATTTAACTTTGTGGAACTTATGTTTATAGCTGAACTTGGTGACTATGATCTTGCTGAGCATAGTCCTGAACTTGTATCTGAGTTCAGGTTCGTGCCGATTCAGACTGAAGAGATGGAGCTGGCTATTTTTGAGAAATGGAAGGAATACAGGTACTTGACATTTGATCACACTTTTCTTTAACATTGCCACATGATTTTATATTTGTTTTCTTCTATTTCTGTATAAATAAAAAATTTATATTATTATTTTAAACATTATTAATTTTTAAATTTCAGAGGTCAAACACCAGCACAAGCTGAAACCAATTACTTGAATAAAGCCAAATGGTTAGAAATGTATGGGGTTGATATGCATGTGGTCAAGGTAAGTACTGTGTTGTGATGCTTTTTAAAAAGTTTATTCCTTCAAGATTCAAGGTAACTATGGCATTTTTCAGTATGAGGGAATGCATGGAGATGGCATAGTATAGCACTGGGTACTTGGATGTGTTATAAAGGTTGAGATTAAATAAGAATCTCACATAAAGTTTCATTGTAAGAAAGAAGAGAAACAACCAAAATCTCCAAAAAGGTATATCTGTGCTTTTAAGGTGTTGTTATTATATTTTTTAGATTTTTAAACCACTTTTTATTCTTTTACCTCGTATTCATATCATCTTGTATCACTTAAGCTGAGTATTTTTTTTCTTTAAAGATTTTATTTATTTGACAGAGACACAGTGAGAAAGGGAACACAAGCAGGGGGCGTGGGAGAGGGAGAAGCAGGCTTCCCACCGAGCAGGAAACCCGACGTGGGGCTCGATCCCAGGACCCTGAGATCATGACCTGAGCTGAAGGCAGACGCTTAACGATTGAGCCACCCAGGCGCCCCTGAGTAGACTGTTTAAAAATTAAAATAATTTAGGAAGCAAAGTAGAAAATTTATAGTTGAGAGGACTTTGATAAGATATAATACAGCTTGTATGGTGATTTAAGTTACTTCTGGTTTAAAAAGCTAAATTGTCCAGAAAGGCAGTCTTTTTAAAAATTTGTAATTTAAATGGTAAATAGAATACGGACAGATCTGCAAAGAACTTTCTTTGTAGTGGAAGTATACCACAGTGTATTTGCAGTGATGACATACTTTAAGACTGTGGTGTTACAGTACAGTAAATGTATGCATGAATTTCCCTGAGAATGTTATTCTGGGTGTTCTGATTGTTGAAAACATTTTGCATATTAATATTGGCCTGTATATAGTTAATATAATTCAATGTGAAAATAAACTGTTTGTGAACATGTGAAGTCTGTCTTATGCAAATCTAACACATTTTGTTCTCCTTAAATTAGGCTAGAGATGGGAATGACTATAGCTTGGGACTGACTCCAACAGGAGTCCTTGTTTTTGAAGGAGAGACCAAAATTGGCTTATTTTTTTGGTAAGCAGAGTTAGTGTTACAGATACTTACTGTTTTGTTTTTTTAATGAGTAAAAAACATCTCTGTCAAGTTAGGACATAAAATTGAGTTTGAAAATAAAATGATTCTGAAAAGATTGTAAATGAAAAGCAATATTCTCCCATCATACTCCTTACCCATCTTTAGTCCCACCCCCCAGAAGTAAATTTTAAACTCTTCCATCCATTTTTCCATTAGTTTCAAGGTATGTTAGAATACATCTCTTGATATATTTTATATTTCTACATGTATTAAGTGTTCACGAGGACACTCTGCTGTTATGTAGTTACATCACTGTTTCTAGTACTTCTTATTCCACAGGCAGTTTCATTACTCCCTACTCCGTGGTGTGTAAAAGGAGGATATTTACCCCTCCCTTTAAGCTGTGCTTCTCTTTTTAGGTCCCAACTTCTATCATTCATATTTTTAAATTATATTTGCATTTTATATCGAGGAGAGATTTTTAAAAAAAATTTCTTTTTTTTAGAGATTTATTTGACAGAGATCACAAGTAGGCAGAGAGGCAGGCAGAGGGAGAGGTAGAAGCAGGCTCCCTGCTGAGCAGAGAGCCCGATGTGGGACTCGATCCCAGGACCCTGAGATCATGACCTGAGCTGTAGGCAGACGCTCAACCGACTGAGCCACCCAGGTGCCCCTTGAGGATAGATTTTACTTGGATTTTGTAACCATAGTTAAGTTCTTCACGTCTTGCCTGGTTTGTTCTAAGAATTGAAAATCAGGAAATAGTGTTCATATTGTTACTCCTCTGTCAGAATTGGTGTAGAGCTTCGTAGTGTACCAGTGTTACATACAGGAGCTGAAGATGGGTCCCTGTGTTGTTTACTTCTCCACAGCATGCCAGGATTGTTAGCTCAAAGCCCACCAACACGAAAGTCAAATTCCTATACACCCAGTTACTTTGCATATAGCCCAATAGGTGTATTTTTAATGACTTAGAGCCTGCCTGCTTTGCATGTCCCACTGTAAGCTGTACCTGACGTCAGCTAGTCTTAAATAAGACAAATCCTGTAGCTCTGAAAGACCTCAAACCACTACTGCCCTTCAGAGTTCTCTGACCCAGACACTCCTGGCTTGCTGCTGAATGCCATTGAGTAGACACCTAAGCCTCATCTCTGATTCCCCTCTCTCCTACAAGTTCCCTTGCCCTCTTCCCCTTATTTGGTGGTAACTTTGTGCAGCCACCTCTGGAAGGTCTCCTGTCGTCGAAGACTTACCTTCTCATGCATCCCTATCCAAACACCTTAGTAAAGTTTGTTGCACAATACTGCTGTCTCATGATCCTGTCTTTCTTTTGATCAGTCCGGAAATCCTTGATTGAACTCACAACTGGGATTACATTAAGTTTTTTCCTGTGTAGGTTTTTGTTTTTCCCAAAGTTCTTGTCTCCCCCGTCCCCATAGCCACCACTCTTGCATACCCCACACAACCCTTTGAATTACCTGCCTTTGTCTTATCCTTAAGTTCTTTCAAATCCTCAGGGTTGCATTGAATGATTCTTCTGTTCCAGTTGGAACTGTCTGCTCTTCAGGCTACTCTGCAGCTTTTATCTGTTTTCTCAGCTAGGATCCTTTGTGTCTTCTTCCCATGTTTTCCTTTTTTTCCTTTTGTTTATTCCAATCTATATCCTTAAGTACCTGCCTAAGAAAAGAGGGGTGTAGGAGGTAAATTGTTTGAATCCTTGGATACCTTAAAATGGTTTATTCTTCTCTTATGCTTTCTTGATAATTGGGCTGAGAATAGAATTTTAGGTTGAAAATTATTTTCCCTCAAAAAGTTGAAGATAATATTTCATTTATTTTTGAATCCAGGTGTCTCTGCTAGGGACTTTCTGAGAGACTTCAGTGGAACACCTTCATAATTGTCCCTCGATAGGTGAAGGAGCTCTGGGGTATTTATTTACCCAGTCCTTGAGTGTTAATTCTTTGACACTTCTAGCTTGCCCTGTGGGCAGATGGAACACACTTCATGGCCAGAGAATGCTGTAGGCGGTGAGATAAAGAAAGCATTTTTGTACCACCTCTTTTAAGGTTGTTGTGAGAATCTTTTGAATTAATACATGTAAAACACTTAAAGGAGTACCTGACACTTCATAGGCATTATGTAAGTATTTGTTACACTTAAATAAGTGCTAGCTCTTCCCCTCCTCCTCTACCTGTTATACTTAACTTATTGTTTTAGTACAACTCTTGTAAACAAGTTATATCTTACAATTATATACATATATATATTTTTTAAAGATTTTATTTATTTGACAGAGAGAGACACAGCGAGAGAGGGAACACAAGCAGAGGAGTGGGAGAAGAAGCAGGCCTCCCGCAGAGCAGGGAGCCCGATGTGGGCCTCGATCCCAGGACCCTGGGATCATGACCGAAGGCAGACGCTCAACGACTGAGCCACCCAGGCGCCCCTACAATTATATTTTTTATATAGATTATATTTGAAAATTAGAATGAGAGTTGTGTTGTTTTGATATTCACAGTTCATAAAAGTACAGAGTTCACATGTGGTAGGTTGTTGAGGATTTCAGTACAGGTGGGAGATAGAGTTGGAAAAGGGGCTATAAAGTGAGGTTTAAAATTTTTTTTTATAAGATTATAGATGTACTTCTCAAACCAAAATTGATACAGAAAATAGAGTTGAAGGCCTTAATCAAGAATTTGTTTTCCTTTATGCCTTTTAACAAAGCTTTATAGTCTTTCCTGTATCTAGTTCTTATATGCTCGTGCTTTACACTAGGCCTGGAGAATCTCTTGTACCATAGTTGGCAGCCTATAAAATATATGTATGGATTTCCTCATTTTCTTTTTTTCTTAACATTTTTAATGTCTGATACATGTACAGCATTGGTTTTATTAGAGATACTGCTTTTGAAATGTTTTTTTCTGTTATCCTAAATATTTCTTAGATTAGAGGCTTTGTTGGTGGGCAGTACAGGTTATGTCTATCCTCTTATCAGTTTTCATTTCAGCAGTTAGATGATTAATATGATAGAAGTAACAACAAACATTTTGTTTTAATTTAGAGGACATTTACTTGAAATCTGGCTTTTATTCTGATATTGTTACAGGCCCAAGATAACCAGATTGGATTTTAAGAAGAATAAATTAACCCTGGTGGTTGTAGAAGATGATGATCAGGTAGGAACTTTGCATTACTTTTTTAACAATGATGATACTATGTGGTAACTCAAGTCTAATAATCTTTAGTAAAGCCTTCTAAATTAAGGATTACCTTTTTTTTTTTTTTTGGTTAACTCTAGCTCCTAATTGATACCCACAACATGGATGTATCTCAAATGCATTATGCTAGGTGAAAGAAGCCAGACTCAGAAGATTATGATTTGTATGGTTTCATTTATATGACAATCTGGGAAGGGCAGACCTGTAGTAATAGAACAGATCACTGATTGTTTGGGATTAGGGAGAATGGGGAGGCCTGCCTACAAAGGAACAGCATAGAGAATTTGGAGGCATGAGAGAACTATTCTGTAACCTGATTTTGGTGGTAGTTACTGGACTCCATGCATTTGTCAGAACTCACAGAATTATGAATAAATAAAAAACTTTATTGCATGCAAAGAAGTAAATTGAAAAACATATATTCATGTAGATGGATGTAGATAAAAGCAAGTTGGGCAAATGTCAAAAAGACTTGGATGCACATGGTGTGTGAGAAGGACTACTTAACAGAGAACCTAAAAGAAGATTCTGAAAATTAAACAAAACAGTAATTTTGTAAGTTTCAAGTTTATTACCAAGATACATGCAAAGGATTGCCCTATCACACAGCTTAGAAGGAAATCAAAGAGGCAGTAGAGCATTTTAAAAGGAAATCTATTGATGGTACTAGAGGATGATCATTATATTATCAACAAATGAATTGACAATGACTCAGAAGAGGCAGATTTCACATCTAAAAACTTAAATTTACAAATATTTTCCTTTTTATGTACGCACTGTGTGATTCAGTGATATTTGTCTCTAAACCTAAAGGCAGTTCTTCAAGAAGAATAAAATATAATTCTATGTGATAAGGAAATATGGTCATAATTTAGTTGGTGACACTTGTTCTCATTTGGGCCATAAGATAATTGTGCATCTTACAATCAATGGCATTTTAGATTTGCTCTTACATAGTATTAGCTTTTTGGATCTCTTTTTGAAGGTATTTTATACACACATACACACACACACACATGCAAATGTGTATATCAATTCTTTTTTATACAGAAGTTACCATGCCTTTAGACTGTTCTGTACTAATTCTTTTTAAACTTTACATTATAACTTCTGGAATCTTTTCCATATGACTATATAGAATGCTGCTTTTTTTTTTTTTTTAAGATTTTATTTATTTGACAGAGAGACAGCGAGAGAGGGAACACGAGCAGGGGGAGTGGGAGAGGGAGAAGCAGGCTTCCTGCTGAGCGGGAAGCCTGATGTGGGACTCAATCCCAGGATCCTGGGATCATGACCTGAGCCGAAGGCAGACCCTTAATGACTGGGCCACCCAGGCGCCCAAAATGCTTCTTTGTTCTTGTTTAAAAAACAAACTAAACTGCATAGTTTCTGGTGTATGGATGTACCCTAATTTATTTAATAAATTCTCAGTTAACATTCACTACATATGCATGAATTTGTGCATTGGCAAGTATCTACAGGTTAATTTCCTGGAGGTGGATTTGCTGGTTCAAATGTGCATTTGTTCTGGGTACAGAGATCCTATCAAAGGTGAAACCTCTTTCCTCAGAGTAAGTTGTCACATTTTTATCTGGAAGGTGAAGAATGGAATTTCATTGTAGATCTGATTTTTATTTCTGTTATTATGAGTGATATTGAACATCTTTTCATACATTTGAGTTCTTTGTATTTCCTTTTCTCCAAACTCTTTATTGATACATATCCTTTGTGCATTTTGTCATTCGGCCTTTTTCTTACTGGTTTTACCCTTTGTCATAGAAACTGTAAATATTTTATCTAATAGTTGTTTGTCTTTTAACATTACTTATTATGATTTTTGCCATGCCAATTTTTACTATTATAAATGAGATTGTGAAGAAAATATATGAGTATAAATTTTGATGTTAAAATCTTTTTCCTTAGAGAGATGGTAAAGCTTAGTTGTTACAAACAGGTTCTGGAGGACAAATAGTTAGGTTCAAATTCTGGGGTTTCCTCTTTGTGACCTTGGGCTTTATTTCTTGAGCTTCAGTTTCCTTATATGTGAAATGGCGCTAATGATAGTATCTGCTCATTGAATTAATTCATATGAAATCCTTAGAAAAGTGCCTGTGAATGTTAATTATTATCATTAGATTCCTGCGAGTATGGTTACTGTGACAAAGAATGTGCACATTTTTTTTTTTTTAAAGATTTTATTTATTTATTCATGAGAGAGAGAGAGAAGCAGAGGGAGAAGCAGGCTCCCAAGGAGCAAGGAGCCCGATGTGGGACTTGATCCCAGGACCCCGGGATCACGACCTGAGCCGAAGGCAGACGCTTAACCATCTGAGCCACCCAGGCGCCCCAGAATGTGCACATTTTTAAGTTTATTGATATATATTGCCAGATCTTGTATGATCCTTTACATTATAATTATATATTATCCCAAAGCCTCAGTTTTTGTTTCTCTGAGAAATGAGACCACTTAAGTAGGGAGGACCCTTTTAGTAATAATTTAGATTGGCTGTGAAAGTGGACAGCTTGATTTCAACTCTGCCTTTTTACTTAGGTAGCTAGAGAGAGTGAGTTTCAGGGAGCAAACTAGATGCTTTCTTATTTGGTTCTTGGTATTGCTGTGGTTGTATTTGTAGCTGAGTTACAAGGGACAGAACTGTTGGACCTAATAATTACCTATCTTTACATCCTTTTCTTTTTCAGGGCAAAGAGCAGGAACATACATTTGTCTTTCGACTGGATCATCCAAAAGCATGCAAACATTTATGGAAATGTGCTGTGGAACATCATGCATTCTTTCGTCTCCGAGGCCCGGTCCAAAAGAGTTCTCATCGATCGGGATTTATTCGACTAGGATCACGATTTAGATACAGGTGAATGTCAATAGCTGCTTGCTATATCTTATGTTCTTTCATAAAGCCAAAAAGTTTAGGCTAACTTCTCATTTTACAGATGTAGAAACCAAGGCATAGAGAAACAAAGTGGTTTGCCAGTGTTTTCACTGACCAAAATAAAAGACAAAGTGGTATTGTTATTGGTTGTAATGTCCTGACTAGAGAGGAAAGCATTATACTGGTATCATGGATTTTATATTCCTCTTAACATTTACTTTATAGATTAATTAACCCCCAAATTAAATTCATATAATAAGAGCTTTAAGGAGTCTTCATGCAATAGCTGAATGCCATATAGAAAAAGGGTATTTGTTGTGCACTGAGAGGCAAATTAATCCTGAGTAACATTTCTGGTCCTTTATAAACCCGAAGTTATGTTATTTTTATAGACTCCTTGTGTGTTGGTCATAAATTAAAAATGTTTTGGTTTACTTGAGTAGATTATTGATTATGAGTTTTCAGCATGCCCCGAGAGGCACTATGATGTAAAAAACGAATGGATAATAATCAATATTGTGGCAAGTTGATTGTGTGGAATTCATGAAAGTAGAGCTTCTATTCTACCTATGTTAAAAGTGAGGAGGCATTTCTTAAGAAAATTTAAATGAAAATCAAAGAGAGTGGGAAAATAGTTTTAAATATTTCTGGAAAGTTACTCTGAAAAGTGTATCACAATTAGAAAAAAATAACAAAATCTTGAGTTGATAGCAAACTGCATGAGGTGAGTGAATGGGGAGAGGAAAGGATTTTCATAAAATACAGATGTTCCAAAGTTATTCAGTACGTTCCTAGGCACATGCATGCTTATGAAAAATATAATTTGCATGTTGCATATTTCCCACAAGCCTAAAGAGTAGAAAAATGATGTGGTAGAGAGACATCAAGGCTATTAGTAGCAGTTACTTCAGGATGAAGCTCAGGATGGTTCGGTTAAGGACAAACTTAATGTAGACTTTCTCTCATAGGTATCTGATTACTGTAGGCCTTAAATTCTCTTATTCCTCTTAATATGCCTCATTTATTTTAGTGGAAAAACTGAATATCAGACCACAAAAACCAATAAACCCAGAAGATCAACATCCTTTGAAAGAAGACCCAGCAAACGATACTCTAGAAGAACTCTACAAATGAAAGGTGAGATGCAACCTTGTTTCAAAAGACTATTCTTCCTTGACAGTCCATCATGTGCTGGAAATGTTTACTTGAAGTTGTCTCAGCCTTAAATTAATTCCAGTCAACTGAAGTACCCTTATTAACTTTGGTTATGACAGAATCAATATAAGAAAATAGAAGGAAGGGGGTGCCTGGGTGGCTCAGTCGTCTGCCTTCAGCTCGGGCTAAGCGTCTGCCTTCAGCTCGGGTCATGATCTCAGGGTCCTGGGTTTGAGTCCTGAATCAGGCTCCCTGCTTAGCGGGGAGTCTGCTTCTCCCTCTACCCCTACCCCCTGCTCGTGATCTCGCTCTCTCAAATAAATAAATAAATAAAATCTTTTTTTAAAAAAAGAAAGAAAATAGAAGGAAAAATTGCCTGTATTGTTGTTGAGATTAAACTTTATGTTAATCCCAATTCAGGTACTATTTTGAGTTTGTGTTCAGTTTTTGTTCATATTAACTATTTTAGTTCTATAGAGTAACACTTTCCCTTCTCTTTTTGACTTCCAGATTTCATTAATAATAATCTCCTAAATGCCCTTAAGAACTTAAAAAAAAAAAACCATTGGTATATGATGAATAAATTTTAAGTAAAAATTATTTCATATAGTATTATAATATTAGGATTCTTTTAAGTAGTGTTTAAATTTAAACATCAATATATATTTAACTTTATGTAATAAAAAGCGTGATTTACTTGAGAAACTAAAAGTGTTTGGTTTTGAATCTGAGTTCGTATTAAAATACAGGTTGAGTTTTTAATATGTCTGACTAGGGTCATCCCAGTTGTCCAGAAACATCTGCCGTGACCTGATGTTTGGCATAAAAAACTCATTTATATTCATAATTTTTGTTTGGTATTACTATCAGTTAAAGAATACATAGCTTTTAATGAGACCATCTTAGTTCGTGATGATTTGAAACCCTGAGTTACCTCTTACTTTCCACTGACAGTGTTTTATTGTCACCTCACTCTAGGAGGCTTGCAGGTGGTTCTGTTTTAAAAGAAAATGATATTTTATTGCTTTATTTTAAAAATGGAAGTAATTGTCATTATTGATTTTAATGATGTGAATCCTAGAACATTTTGTGAAATGACAGTATTTAAATCTGTAATTGGGAAATATGGCTTAAAAACTGCCTAGATTTACTTTTATGAATAGCGAAGCAGTTTACCATGTAAATGGACACTAATGGGACATTTTCTTTTTTTTTCCTCTTACAGCAAAACCTGAAGAACTCAGGTGAGTAATGTCTTACAATTTAGGAACAGAATTTAGAATTTAGCATTTATGTAGTTGCTGTCATTAAACAAATCTTTGTTGAAGACTTGTCAACGTATTAAGTTTCCCTGAGCATTGGGACTATAGCAGGGAACAAAAATATACATAATTCCAGATAAAATTGACACAAAGAAAAATAAAGCAGTTTAAAGAAATAAAGGCAGGGGTGGGGATAGATGTGCTATTTATAATGAGAATGACATACATTTGTTATTGGCCTGTCACCGAGGTTATAAAGATGAATAAATTAGGGTTCTTATGCACAAGGAGCTCAAAGAACAAAGGTTTATTTGCAGATAAGCAATTAATTTTATTCCTGGGATAATCCCTACTTGATCATGGTGTATAATTCTTTATATCATATGTTGCTGGATTTGGTTCGCTAGCATTTTGTTGTGGATTGTATGTGTGTGTATATATATATATATTTTTTTTTAAGATTTTTTTTTTTTAATTTATTTTGACAGAGGGAGAGAGAGAGAGCACAAGCAGGGGGGCAGCAGGCAGAGGGAGAGGGAGAAGCAGGCTTCCCGCTGAGCAGGGAGCCTGATGCGGGGCTTGATCCCAGGACGCTGGGATCATGACCTGAGCCGAAGGCAGCTGCTTAACTGACTGAGCCACCCAGGCACCCCTGTATGTGTGTATTTATCAAAGACACTGGTCTATAGTTTTCCTGTAATTCTGCATCTGATTTCGGTATCAGGATAATTCTGGCTTCACAGAATGAGTTGAAAATGTCTCCTTACTGTTTGCCGCGGGGGGAAGAATTTATAAAAGAATTGGCATTCTTCTTTAAACGTATGGTAGAATTTATAAAGGCCATCTTGCCTGGATTTTCTCTTTGTGTAAAGTTTTAAAATTCCTACTTCAGTCTCTTGTTACAGATCCATTCAGATTTTAGTTTTCATTTTGACTCAGTTTGGGAGTTTGTCTTTTTGAAATTTGTCCATTTCATCTAAGTTATCTGATTGGTGGCATGCAGTTGTTCATGTTTACTTCCTTTTCCTTTTTATTTCTGTAAGGTTGGTAGTGATTTTCCCTCATTCATTTCTAATTTTAGTAATTTGAGGGGTTTTTTTTACCCCCTTTGGTCAGCTGAGGTAAAGGTTAGCCCATTTTGTGGGCCTTTTTAAAAAACCCACTTTTGGTTTCATTGGTTCTTGTCTATTTTTCAAGTTTATTAATTTTTGCTCTGATATATTCTTTCTTTTTTTTTTTAATTTTTAAATTTTAAGTAGGCTCCACGCCCAACGTGGGGTTTGAACCCATGATGCCAAAATCAAGAATTGCATGTTCTACCCACTGAGCCAGCCGGGTGTCTCTGATATATTATTTTATTTCTTATACTTGCTTTAGGTTTAGTTTGTTTTTCTTTTTCTGGTGTCTTAATGTGGGGAATTAGGTATTTATTTGAGATCTTTATTTATTTTTTTTTCTAAATCATTTATTTGAGAGAGAGAGTGTGTTGTAGTTGGGGGGGGGCAGGGGACTAGGAGTAGGGACAAGCAGACTCTCTGCTGAGCATGGAGCCCGATGCAAGACTCGATCTCACGACCCTGACATCATGACCTGATCAAGATTTGGGCATTTAGCTGACTGAGCCACCCAGGTGCCCCTATTCTTTTTTTTTTTTTTTAAGATTTTATTTATTTATTAGAGCATGAGCAGTGGGGGAGGGGGAGAAGCAGACTCCCCTGCTGAGCAGGGTGCCTGATGTGGGGCTTGATCCCAGGACCCTGAGATCATGACCTGAGCCAAAGGCAGATGTTTAACTGACTGAGCCACCCGGGCGCCCCCGGTTCTTCTTTAATATAAAACATTTATTGCTATAGATTTTCCTCCAACCACTGCTTTAATCACATTCCATGTTTGGTTATGTTTTATTTTCATTTTTATTTATCACAAATTATTTTCCAGTTTCTCTTTTGATTTCTTCCTTGACCCTTTGGTTACTTGGGAATGTGTTCCTTGATTTCCACACATTTGTGAATATCTTAAATTTTCCTTTGTTATTTTTTTGTAATTTTATTCTACATGGTTAGAGAACATACTTCGTATGATGTTGATCCTTATAAATTTATTGAAACTTTTTTATAGCTTAACATAAGATTTATCTCAGAAAATGGTCTAAATGCACTTGAGAAGAATGTGTATATTCTGTTGTTGAGTGTAATGTTCTATAAATGTCTGTTAGACCTACTTGGTTTTATACTGCTCAGGACTTCTGTTTCATTATTGACCCTTTGCTGAGTTATCCATTATTAAGAGTTAGGTTTTGAAATCTCCCAATTATTGTAACTTAGTTGTCTGTTTCTCCCTTTAATTCTTTCAGTTTTTGTTTCATATATTTGGGGACTTTTTGTTAAGTGCAGATATGTTTATAATTGTTTGGTTCTTTTATTATGATGAAATGTCACTCTCTAGTAATTTTTTTTTTGTTTTGAAGTCTTTTTTGTTTGATTGGCAGTCCATTTTTATTCTGGTTGCTTTTCCATGGTATATTTTATCAAATTTGGGAAGTTCTCAGCCATTATTTCTTCAAATGATCTCTCTTTTCCTTTCTCACCTCTCCTTCTGGGACTCCCATTATATGTCTGTTGTTACATGTGATGGTGTCCCACAGGTATCTAAGTTCATTTTTCTTCATTCTTTTTCTTTCTGTTACTCAGACTAGATAATTTCAGGTGACCCATTTCAAGTCATTGATTCTTCCACCTTCTCAAATCACCTGTTGTGTCTTTTCAGTTAATTTTATATTTCAGTTATTGTACATTTCAAGTTAAGAATTTCCCTATTTGATTCTTATCTGTAAATTCTCTGTTTAATGATATTTTCTTTTTGTGGAGACAGTGTTCCCATACTTAATTTCTTTAGATTTGGTTTTTTACTTCCTGCACATATTTAAAATAGCTGATTTAAGTGGGTTGCCTGGAAGAGTGTTCCATCTTCTTGGCCACACTCACATGGAGTAAAGCTTTCACCACATTGAACTTGGGGGAGTAGGGACTCAATGCCAGACTCAGCTCTGAGATTTAGTAGATTTTCTTGAATAAATGTTTATTCACTGATGTATGCTTTTTAATGATTTTTTTTTTTAATAATTTTCCCCAGCTAAATGTTTGTTTCACTGGGGAGAGAGTCCTCAAATCACCATTCCAGAAGTTCTACCTTTTTTTTTTTTTAAGACTTTATTTATTTATTTGACAGAGAGATAGAGAGGGAACACAAGCAGGGGGAGTGGGAGAGGGAGAAGCAGGCTCTGGGCTGAGCAGGGAGCCTGATGCGGGACTGGATCCCAGGACCCTGGGATCATGACCTGAGCCGAAGGCAGACGCTTAACGACTGAGCCACCCAGGCGCCCCCAGAAATTCTACTTTTGATGATGACTCAAATTAATTTTAATAGTACATATTACAATGTATTTCATATAATGCTTCTCAGCTGTTGGTATGTGTCAGTTTCCTGGAATGTCCATCGAAGCATCACGTCGAAGTATCAGATTCAGGACATACTTGCAAATTTCGTTAACTCTTGAATTTGTCTACTGTTATATGGCAGATGTATCACTAGAGCTTCTTCAAAAGGAGAAATCGTTTGATTTTGGGGTACTGAGTACGGTCAGCCTCTCCTTGAGATGCCCTATTTTTTTTTTTCCCCACTTAGAAAACCATTAAAGTTGGGCTGTGATTAGTGATTCATCACAAAAGCACTTCTCCTGAAGTTTCTTTAGCTGTCAGTAGGCTGTTAAAAATAAATCAATGAATAGAGTACGGAGGAAGTGAGCTATTCTTTCTATTGTGAATTTTTAATTGGGTAAAAAACAAAGTTTTCTGCCTTTCCTAAGTTGTATACTTTTACTTTCATTGTAGTTATTTATAAGCTATGCTTTTAAGAAAAATGATGGAGAAATGTTAGAGGTATTCTGTACTTTTTAAACTATTTTGTTTGTTTTTTGTTTAATGGATTATATCTTGCTTACCTGAAAGGGAGGCTGGGACAGAATATTAGAGCTTAAAATAAGAAAGATAACCTGGTGAATTTACCAAAATGTAAACAAAGTATTCAAGCAATAATATGTAGTTGAAAAATTAAGGTTTTTATTTGCAAGAATTTGTCCTTTACAATTTTTTTGAGGGGCGCCTGGGTGGCTCAGTCAGTTGTGTCTGCCTTTGGCTCAGGTCATGATCTCAGGGTCCTGGGATCGAGCCCCACATTGGGCTCCTCGCTCATTGGGGAGTCTGCTTCTTCCTCTGCTCCTCCCTGCCACTCCCCACCCTCCCTACCACTCCCCACCCTCCCTACCACTCATGCGTGCGGGCATTCTTTCTCTGTCTCTGTCTCAAATAAATGAATAAAATCTTTAAAAAAAAAAAAAAATTCTTTTTTTTTTTTTGAAATATACATTTCTGACCAAAAACTTAAGTATGACTATATAGTCTCTTCTTAGAATTAAGATTAATTTAATTTTAATAACTAAGTTCCAATGAGATACCACCTCACACCAGCCAATGGCTAAAATTAACAAGTCAGGAAATGACAGATGTTGGCGGGGATGTGGAGAAAGGGGAACCCTCTTACACTGTTGGTGGGAATGCAAGCTGGTGCAGCCACTCTGGCAAACAGTATGGAGGTTCCTCAAAAAGTTGAAAATAGAGCTACCCTATGACCCAGCAGTTGCACTACTGGGTATTTACCCCAAAGATACAAATGTAGTGATCCAAAAGGGCATATGCACCCCAGTGTTTATAGCAGCAATGTCCACAGTAGCCAAACTATGGAAAGAGCCTAGATGTCCATCAACAGATGAATAGATACAGAAGATGTGGTACACACACACACACACACACACACACACAGGAATATTACGCAGCCATCAAAAAATGAAATCTTGCCATTTGCAACAATGTGGATGGGACTAGAGGGTATTATGCTAAGTGAAGTAAGTCAGAGACAGACAAGTATCATATGATCTCACTGATATGAGGAATTTGAGAAACAAGACAGAGGATGATAGGGGAAGGGAGGGAAAAATGAAACAAGACGAAACCAGAGAGGGAGACAAACCATAAGAGACTCTTAATCTCAGGAAATAAACTGAGGGTTGCTGGAGTGGAGGGGGATGGGAGGGATGGGGTGGCTGGGTGATGGACATTGGGAAGGGTATGTGCTATGGTGAGTGCTGTGAATTGTGTAAGACTGATGAATCACAGACCTGTACCTCTGAAACAAATAATACAGTATATGTTAATAAAAAGAAAAAAATAAAAATAAAAGGAAAAAATGCATTTGGCTCTGGAAAACACAACAGAAATGGGATATTTAAGCAATGATACTTTATTGTTACTATTTTTTATAATAAACTTTTAGATGTGAAATGTAGAGGGGGACCCAGCTCTCCTGAAGGTTATTTACCACTCTTCATAACACTGTTTGAGAAAACCTGAGTTTGGACTGGCATGAATGCCCTTTCATTCTTGCCCTTCTAGTTCTGTTTGCATGAACAGTTTTGCTCCAGTGAACCATGGAAAACAGTACTGTTTGAAAAAGCACAGCTATTTGACCTAAGAAGCTTCTTGACCTTGTAATGTGCCTATTTGAGTAACAGGTTTTTAAATTGGCTGATGTCAGCGGTTTTCCTTATACTATTTTATTTCCTAACTATTCCCTATGAGTCTTGACTAGTATAAAGTATCCTAAGAAGAGGTGACATTTTAAAGGATAGATCACATTTCAGTGATTAATACTTTTTGTACAGGCTTAGCTGACAGAATCTAGAAGACGGAAAAGAGGAAAAAAGGAACGGAGGAGGAAGTGATGAATACAGAGAGCATAAGAGCAAAAGGGGTCAGTTATTACAGGTGGTCCTTTGAAAGGGGAAGCTTGGGTTAGATCAGTAATGAGAAGTATTAATTCCTACTTTTGTGTTAGTGGAAGTGAAAGAATGTGCAATTATGAGAAAATAGTACTTTCTACATTTCAAATTATTTGAAAATGGGACTATGATCCCATTAAGATCACATATTATAAGCATTTTTTTTCATGTTACTATTCATCTTTTATTTATCACTTGCTGGAGTTATTCTCAGTTAAAGGAAAAGCTTCAAAGAGTAACCAAGGGGATCATCCAGCCAAGCAGGTTGGATGAGATTTCATAATATCTGGGATTATGGATTACTTAAACCAGCATAATGTGTTCTGGGAGCAGCAACATTAGTCAAAAGAAATCATGCCTGACAGGTATATTCTTTGCAATTGTCTTGACAACAGTTATACACTAACCAGTATTTTTTTTTTTTTACAGTTTTTTTTCTTTTTGGTCAGTTTTATTTATCACTGTTCTTTGTGTTTTGCTAATATTAATGCATTTAATCCTCTTAACAGTTTCATGCGAATGAAGAACCTGAGGTTTAGAGAATAGAACTAGTGGTAGCGGTGCCACTTGGATTTGAATCCAGGCAATGCTACTGCAAGTTCTGGTGACTCAACTTGTAATAGAAATGTAGGTAATAAAAAATAAGATATAAAATGGATTCAATTCTCATCACCTAGCCTTTAGCAAGGCCTCTTCATTTTTTTTTTTTTTTAAAGATTTTATTCCTTTATTTGAGAGAGAGAGAGAGCATGAGTGGGGGGGTGGGGCAGGGAGGGTCAGAGGGAGAAGCAGACTCTGGGAGGGAGTCTTATGGTGGGGCTCGATCCCAGGACTCTGGGATCATGACCTGAGCCGAAAGCAGACACTTAACTGACTGAGCCAGCCAGGCGCCCCAGCCTCTTCATTCTTGAGTTCTTTCTTAATTGGTTGTCCTTCATGCGATTGTTTTGTTCCCACCCCTCTAAGAAAGGCTCCTAGATGCTGTATTCAGAGTTTGGTTTGAGAAGCTTTGTGCATTTCCTTTTTTCTTTTTTGTGTTTTTTTTAAGATTTTATTTATGTGAGAGAGAGCAAGCTGAGGAGGGAGCCTGACATGGGGTTTGATCCCAAGATCCTGAGATCATGACCTGAACTAAAGGCAGATCCTTAACCAACTGAGCTACCCAGGCACCCCTGGCCGTTCCCTTTTACTAGAATGACATCTTGGCTGGGTATAATATTATTATTTTTTAAAGCTATATTATTTGTCCGAGAGAGAGAGCACAAGCAGGGGTAGAGGCAGACAGAGGAAGAAGCAGGCTCCCTGCTGAGCAAGGAGCCCGATGCAGGACTCGATCCCAGCACCCTGGGATCATGACCTGAGCCGAAGGCAGATGCTTAACCAATTGAGCCACTCAGGTGTCCCTGGGTATAATATTCTTGAATATTTCTATGAAGAGGTCTGTGCCAGCCAGATATTTGCAGTGATTTCCTTTTAATCTCCTTGGGGTACCTTAAATATTCTTTCCTTATCCAATAAGGGATTGAATGAATTTAATTCCCTATCTCGTTTTCCTGGAACATAGTGCTCTCATTAAATCTGTAGATTATTTTTTCTCATTTTCCAGGAATTGTGTGTGTGTGTGTGTGTGTGTGTGTGTGTGTGTGTATGTATAAAACTTTGAATATATTTTCAGTTACCTTAGTTGAATTTTTTACCTCAGGATACATGTATGCTTATGTTAGAAGGTCTGAAGTCCATAAACTTTTTTTTTATTATGTTAATCACCATACATCATTAGTTTTTGATGTAGTTTTATTTTATTATGTTATGTTAATCACCATACATTACATCATTAGTTTTTGATGTAGTGAAGTCCATAAACTCTTTATTCCCATCATTTTGTTGTGATAATATGTCATCTTTGAATTATTTCATTGAATATTGTTCTCTTTTTTAGCTGTTCTGAGGTTTGTGTTTATTATTTTGTTTTAGATTGTTTTTTAAGTGGTTTTTTGTGGGAAAGCGATGGAGGAGGGGAATGAATACAGCCTAAACTAAAAATTTAAAAAACATACTTATAAATCAGTTGGAGTAGAAAGCATACAGAGAGGTTTCTGACTTTAAGTTTATACTAAGGCCTTTTGAGTTATAAAATGTTGAGCTATTGCTGACAGTGGAAAATCTTGAGAGGGTAGGAATATACAAAAGAAGTGACACAGATAAGTTTATGTGGATATTTGTGCTCAGTGCCTTGAATTTAAGGTATCATTTGTGCTGCTCTTCATTTTGCATCTTTGACAGATACTGTCCAATGAATAAACAAGATTAGTAGTGAACTATACATTTAAAGCACAATTAAAATACAGGTATATGGAAATCTCAAATGAGCGGATTATAGAAAAATAAGTGTCTATAAAAGCAAATGTTTTCTGGGCATCTTATATTTTAGTTTTAGGCTCCAACAGTAATTTTTTCTTTATTTGCAACAAAACAATGCCTTTAAAAATAAAACTACTTTCATTACTGTATGTATAATCTTACAATGTGAAGCCCTCGAATTTTATATATGGTTTTTTTAATAGATATTTTTCCCCATTACAGTGTTCACAATAATGTTTCAACTCAGAGTAACGGCTCCCAACAGGTGAGATCATATTAAACTTCTGAACACTAGAACACTAGTTAATTATGACAGATAGTGGTATTATTAATTGAATTTTCATAGTGGTATAACTTCGGGCGTTTTTTTTAATCTGTAAAGTAGGTAATGAAACCCTCTGTTATTATCTGAGATGTTGTAAATAGAATAGGTGCTCTATAGAACATTTTCTGTTCCTGTAAATCCTATTTAATGAATAAGGTATTAATATTTAGTTAATTATTATCTATCTCTGAGGTAGTACATAACATTCAAGCATTTGTTTGTACTATGTTTGTAGATAGTATTCCATTTTAATGTTCTGTTTATTGGTGAAGAAATCTTTTATCTAGGCAAAATAGATGATCTTTATAATTTTTTAATCCACAGGCTTGGGGTGTGAGATCTACTCTGCCTGGGATTCCTTCTGTTCCCTCTGGTCCTATGCTGGCAGAGATAGAGAATCTTCCAAGGAATCCTGGATTAGACCAGCATGACAGGAAATGGTTTGTTAACTCCTTAAACTGGACTAAAATGTTGCTTGCTTAATGGTATTCTAAATTCCCAACCATAATCTTAAAAGACTTTATGATTGAAAGCAAATTATTCATATTTGTAAGCTGAACAGAAACATATTATTAAACAGTCATATTGGGATTGGGAAAATAAAGGATATTTATGAAGAAGGGAATGCAGTTATTTAATTGAAGAACATCAGACATCTCTCCTTATTTTGGTTAGCATGACTGGAAGTGGTGGGTGGTTCTCTGTTGAAAAGGACTTCAATGCTAGTCAGTAGAACCTTTTTTCAGATCAAAAAGGAAAATAAGGTCATCATATGTTATTCCACACAACATAATGCTAGTGCTTTGGATGTGTTTTTTCATTAAAAACTGAAGATAAGCCAAAAGGGAGACAAGATTATAATCTAAAAAAAATATTTTAATGCTTTTGGGGGATGGAGAGATAATCTGATGACAGAGAAGATACTTTATTTGTTTAGATTTCCAGGGTCTTTTTTTTTACATTCATAATTAGTACACAAATATGAATACTTTGTGGCTTATTGGAGGGTAATCAGTAGGGTTCATCATTTCCCAAATAAATGTGTGTGGCTTGGAGGGAATTATTTGGTTGAATGGTCATGTTGGTTGCATCTGTTCAAGTTGTTTGTCTGTGAAATGAACTTTGATAATTCATAGGATTTTTCTCTTTTTCTCTTGCTCTTAGTTTGTTTAGTACCTGAAATCTAATGAGTTTCTGTGGTGATCTCAAGGTTTTGGTCAGCTTTCTGTGCAACCAGTTCTTCCTTCATGGTGGTGGGTCAACAGTGGTTGGTGATTATTTTCAGTCTTTGCTATGAAATTGTTTTTCACTGTTATTTTGGCTTAACTAACTTGCAAGATGCTTTGCTCTTCATGGTTGGGCGTATTTTTACTTCAGTTCCAAATAACTTGATTAGTTTCTAAGATTGAGGGATTTTTTTTTCTTTACTATTTTTTTCTTTTCCTTTTACCTGAGAGTGTGATAGAGGGGTACTTTGTGTGTGTGTGTGCATGTGGGCACACACTTAAAGTATGAACAGTGAGGCTTCTAAATATCAAATTTTCATCTTTATTTTTTTAAGCCATTAAAAAGGGTTTCTTCATTTTCTTACTGAAAACACAGCTCCAGTAAGCAGCTATGTTTTATGGCCTTGATGTTACCACCAAGTCCGATTGGCAAGGAAACCAGACTTCACCTATAAAAGAACTCCCTTAATATATGGTTACCTTTTATGTTAATATGGAATGAGAGTCTGGGAGGGGGTTTGCATACTATATTATGACACTAAATCTTTATTGAGTTTTATAATTTTAATGGGCACATATTTAAATCTATTTAATTTGATTTATTAGGCACTCCGTAGTTCCTTTGACACAGCCTTTAAAAGAGACATTACTGAATCTGAGGGTATTTAATTTTAAGGAAAATGGAAAATTTGGAGCTATGTGTCCTTCCATTATATACTTGTGCTGAGACCTCCTTTGCTGAAATGGAGTAAAATGGTGATCCTGAAAACCTAATGAGCCTCAGTGTATGTCAGCAGTGGCATGGAACTGAATATAGAACTGTTCTGTCTTGGAGCTAATGGATTCCCTAGCCTGAATTTAAAGTGCATTCTGTATTTCACTTTTTGTTTCTGCATGCTTTTATTGTTGTTAATGCTCTTAAATGAATATAAAACAGTCCTCCTTTAGAAAGTGATAAGTTAATAAAATTTGGAAATGCTCCCAAGGTTTGAACAATTGGGCAGAATAACAGACTATTATCAGGTAGATAACTTCTAACCATTTTAATCTAAACCTACTTCACGTTCAGTTCTTTAGCTTTCTCTCACTGATGTCTTCTAAATGACACCATTATTTCAGTGAATGATTTGGCATATCAATAATGTAGAATTATCCGATATTTAGAGTATCACCTTTGGAGAAACAATTTATGTATTACATCCATTAAACCATTTATAAACAACAACAAAAACAAAACTGAATAATATTTGGGAAATCTTGCATATATCAGGGACAACATAAACCTAACTTAATTTCCTAAATTTTCAGAGACCGTATATTGAGGGTCATGAATTTTATGGGATAAATCTGATGAACAAATTGTATGTCTGTTGAAGAAAAGATGATTTTTTTGTAAAAAAGCATTCAAGTTTTTTCTGAAAAATGCTTTTAGCTAATTTCAATTTCCTTAAGGAAAAAAAGATGAGGATTCATGTTTTAGTTGAGTTAGAAAAATACTGTGTTTAAAAATTTATCCTTAGACATCTTTTATAATTGGGTTGATTTTTTTTTCTTTGTAATTATCTTAAATATGTGCTGCCCTTTTTGCTGTGTTGCAAAACCTTGATTTTCTGAACTGTGACAAATGTTTCTACTGGAGGATCTAATTATTTCTAACCAGGAACTGCTTGTATGCATGCTTCATTCTCATAGTTCTGTAGGCCTATTCTATAGCACTGTGTGATAAGGGTATCTTACTATACTTACTAAACTGTTCCTTGGAGGGGCTTACAATCTCATCACATTATCTGTACCTGTTGAATTTGATTCTGAGGTCCTGGGAACTTTGATTATAGAAGGAACAATGATTCTCCATTGTTAATTGGAAACATTGACATAAAATTACATGGCCTCTGAAGGTAGCTTTTTGTTTTTTTTAATGTTCTTTCTGAATTTTGTTTCCTGGATTTCAGTTTTGTGAAATCACTTAATTTGGGGAATAATTTTCATAGTTGCTCTTTTCTATATGGGCCTTTGTCCATAATGTAGAAGTGTCCTTTTAAATATTTGAATTAAATTAGATCATAAATATTTTTTCCTTCTCATTAGAACTTCAGACAACATTTTTAACTTTGATTTTGGTACCAACATCAGGGACAGATAGAGTATTTTGTTCTCTGTCAAATTTCCTCGTTATTTAATTCACTTAACTGACTCTGATTACTTACTCATATCTCCATATTGAGCTTTTCCACTACATATAACTTTGTGGATTCTACCCCCCCCCCCCCCCGATTCTTGTAAGTCATTGCATGGAGTAGATGTCAATAACTACTCATAGCAGTGGTGCATGCTGGTCACACTGCCTTTCTCCTTTATTACCTCTTACACATCCATTTTCTCCTATTCCTATTGACTAACTGTGCTCCCCTCCCACTCCCCAACCATCCAGGCTCTCTGCTGCCAGTGACTGCTGTCAACGTGGTGGAAACCAGTGGAACACAAGGGCCTTGTCCCCACCCCAGCCTGCACATAGAAACTACATTGACTTTGTCCATGAGCACAATGTGAAGAATGCAGGAGTCCATCATGGTGTTCATTTTCCCCGGCCACGCAGCCATGACTGAGATATGAGTGTTAAGCCCGTTAGACACTGGGACTCTTTGTCATGCAAGTTGATGGTATACATTTTCTGTACATAGAGGATTGATCACGTTAGGAGAATTTGGCAGAAACTACTTTATATTGAGTCACTACTTGTGTAGTGTTGTTTGTAATTGAATTCTTCTGTGAAAGGAAAAAGAATGTGAAGAAAGCTGTATGCCATCAATGATAATGACAAATGCTTTTGTATTGAAAGGGTATGTATATATCATTGTAATTTTGGAAAGGTTTTTCATGATTTTAACATGTTAATACATCACTCAGAAGAGGTCTCAGGAGAAGGTTTGTGTTTGTGTAAAAGCTGCCTGTTATCCTCTCACCCCATGCCATCCAAATAGATTGAGGTGAAAAGAATCAGACACACTAATCACAAGTGAGAAGGAAGCATGGTCCAGGCATGATGTATCAGCCTTTGGTGATATGATACTTTGATAAAGCTGCTTTTCTATACCATTTTTAATACTTCTACAGTGACCCATGCCTTAATTTCAGTTAAGTGCCTAAGATTCTGTAGTCATAATAAATGTAATTTTTAATTAAAAGTACTTTTACTTTTTAACAAGTATTTTAATTTACTGAAAGTAATGTGATTCATGTAAAGAGATAAACCTGAATGGTTACTTTGCATGATTAACTAGTTAATTAGCGGTTAACTAAATTTAGTTACATTACTACTGAATAGTTGTACAAAATGGAAAATGTATTTACTTTTGTCTTTTCATTTTCTCTTTTTCCTCTTATGCATCTGGTAGATTTCCCAGGTTTGCAGCAGCCTCGTAATCTAGCCTTGTACAACCTTTAAAATAAAATTCTAAAGCCCAAACCATATTGCTTTCAAATGGATTGGATATATTACTGTTTTGGTCCTTTATGAACTTCGAATATAATCATCTAAGCTCTTTGATTTAATTCATAGGGGCAGATTATCTGGAAAAAGTACATTTCTAATGTAATGGGAGCTGATACAAGGGAAGCATTTCTTTTGCCTTTCTATAGTTTTTAGAAATTTTAACAAACCTTAAAACTATGTATATGGTAATTTGAAGATATTTTATAGTCTGAGAATTCATAATAATAATTCAAGATAATGAAGCTTTATTATAAACAACCTAACCCATATACCATCCTGTTTACTTCCGAGGTTGGTCTAATCCCTCTCTGCTAGATACAGGTTTCAGAGGTCTTTATTACTGGACTGTTGGTTGCAAATAGAATACAACTTGTCATCAGAATATATAAGTAAGCAAAATTAAGTAAGACCTAGGAATGAAATTTATAGGCAGGTTTCAGTCTTTGATTTTATCACAAACTTTTTTTTTAAAGATTTTATTTATTTGACAGAGCGTGCGTGCACCCGTGCACAAGCAGGGGGAGCAGGCAGAGGGAGAGGGGAGAAGCTGGCTCCCTGCTGAGCAGAGAGCCAGATCTGGGCTCGATCCCAGGACCCTGGGATCATGACCTGAGCCGAAGGCAGACGCTTAACCGACTGAGCCACCCAGGCGCCCCTATCACAGAGGAGACAGAAGCTCAAAGTATTCTTTAGCACATCCTGTAAATATGAACAGGTCCAT